TGCAAGACTTCAAGAAATAAAAGGGGCATTTTGGCATAATATCCATCCCCGTTTTTAGGGAATCAGGATAGCTGTATTTGAAAAAATGCCCAGGAAGGTTGCAGAATAGTGCCAGAGCCTCACAAACTTTAGTATGGATAAGCCTGAAATACATATATATCCCTTGTTTAATTATGAATGGATAGTTACAAGTATGTGTAACCAACTATCAAAATAAGGCATAATAAAAGCACTGGCATAAGAACTTAAAAGCTCAATATGAATATTTCAATACAATGATGATATGCATAACTGCTTTGGTGCTACACAGTAATTGCAATTGGGCCCAATGATCAGCAGCAGTTTCTGACTATAATTATTCTCATGTGGCCAAGCCAAAAGTGTCCAAGATGACTTAGAAAAGTTCACAAGCTAACTAAGGGATCCAGGTAGGCTAGATCTCCTTGATTCTTCAAAAGAGGTGGCTATTTCCTATCTCTGTGAGATGAGACAGGGATGACACTGGAAACAGGACTTAATTTGGCTTTCAGGGATGAGAGATAATAGTGGTGATGAGAAACCACTGCCATCTTCACTGAGTGATGAAAAGATCAGAATTAGGACAATCTGGGCTTCAGGTTCCACACAAAAAGGTAGAGGGGTGGTGGAGAGAAGTGAAATAGCGGGAGACAATATGGGGAAAAGGGAGCTCAAATTCCTCTCCCTTTACTCCTTGAGTTTGAGGATCTAAGATTTTTCCAGAGGGATCCTAGAATGTAATATACTCTAGAGTGGAAAAACATGAACCACACTACTAAGGAGTTCACGTCCTAACTCTACTTAGAAGATTAGAAGTTTTAAAATCACTCTTAAGCTTGTCTGAATTGACATAAGTGTCTAGGACAAAACAGTTAATAAATATTAATTCTATTCCACTTCTTTTCCTGTCACATACTAACTGGTGGATTTAAAGGAATGACTCTCTTGCCTTAAAGTACTGCCTGAGTTTCTAAAATACCATCAATTAAAGATTTATTTGGATTAATGTAAGAAACTCCTGAAAAGCTTGAAAAATGGAGAGCTTTCATTGATTCACATGGTAGTGTGCATATGTTTAACAAAACTAGAAAAACAAGAAGAGGATCCAAGAAAGAGCTTCAAAGGATGAGCTGTTTTAGAGATGGGCATGTGAGCAAAATGACACAATGAACATGGCTCTGGATAGAGCCAGCAACCATCCTAAAGACACTAGGCTCTGGAAAAGGGGGAAAAAGATGAAAAAACAACTTGCTCCCATGTCTGATTCTTCTTCTCTTACTTTCTGTATTACCTGACTGTACATGAAGTCTTGAAGCTACTGGGAAAATGGGTAAACACTATGCTGTGGTCCTGTGATCAAGTCTTATGATGAGGCCTACCAAAACTGGGGCTCTTTCTAGGAAAAAATCCCAGAATGAAGTATTCAACAAAAGCAAATGATACAAGCAGGGATGTTCTTATCTCCATGCTTTCCACACATACAGGCAGCTTGGTATAATGCTGCTAGGCAGCAGACTCACCAGTTTAGGGGTAACTTTGGAGGATACAACATCCCTACAGAGCACTCTTATGAAACAACACATCTTTCATGCTCATATGTGATATCTGAGAGATGAGGGAGTACCAGTGCACCAGATGATAGTCAGTTCTTGCCCACATCACCAAGTCCTAACATCTAGTGCTGTCTTTAGGCTGATCTAGCTTCCTGCTGAAGAGACTGACAGAGCAGAATAAGGGTCAGCTGACTTAGTCCTCAAAGGATACTTTGTTTCCCCATCTTGCAAGTCAAAGTCTGAGAGGGCCTCAATCCTTGGGGCTAACAGAGCATGTAGGGTATTATAGGTAACAACGTTGTTGTTTAAAACTGGGATCCACAAAGGGGAAGTTCTATTTAATGAAAGAAAAGATACTACCTATTATACCTACATTTTTTTTTTTTTTTTTTGAGATGGAGTCTCACTCTGTCACCCAGGCTGGAGTGCAATGGCCCCATCTTGGATCAATGCAACCTCTGCCTTTCCGGGTTCAAGTCCCGAGTCACTGGGACTATAGGTGCACACTGCCACACCCAACTAATTTTTTGTATTTTTAGTAGAGACAGGGTTTCACCGTGTTGCCCAGGCTGGTCTCAAATTCCTGTGCTCAGGCAATCCGTCCACCTTAGTCTCCCAAAGTGCTAGGATTACAGGCGTGGGCCACCACGAGGGCCACCGTGCTTGGCCTATACCTGTATTTTTATTGTGGAGAACTGACCAACTATGCAACCAAATTTACCCAGAGCTTCTACAGGAATAGCAGTTGGGGAATTAAACCAGTAGCAGGGTGTCACTCAGGGGAGGAAATGCCCTGCAAAGTAGGATCCTTGCCTGTATATTACTAGATAGTACCTCTTTAGCCCAGAGTAATGCTTTCCTGGATGTAGATGAACTCATGCAGTCCATGACAGGACCTCAGTTAATGGATTATTTGTCCAGTAAGAAACCACTTGGGATAATAAAAGACAGCCAAATGAGCCAAACTGAACAAATAAGCCAAATGGTAGCACTGAACTCTTATTTTTCCTGATCATACCTTCCCATCTTCCTAGTAAACTACAACAAGCAATGTTCATTTCTACTCTACTGCCTAAAGAGTAATTTCTACAACTATACTATGAACTTGCTTTCAGGATTACTGTATACCATGTCAGCCTCCTCGATATCTTTAATTATTGGAGGAGAAAACCGGCAGTATCTCCTTTATCTCCATGAAAGGATGGCTACTCCATTAATTTTGTTATTCTGTTAATTTTGAACCCTGAGATTCAAAGATATTAACCTACCTAGACCAGAATCTAATTTGTTTAGTCCACTTGCTAAGCTGAACGGTGGATAAATCCTTCAGTAAACAAATTCAAAAGCAACCAGTTAATTTCCTTCCACCATAAAGATTCACTGAATTGCCATTCTCAAACAGCAAGCCTGTACACTCCCAATACTTTCAAATAGTGTCTGGTAGAGAGGATACAAGTACACAGACAGTAATAACCCTGACTAACAAAGAAACTGGACTCATGGCCAGGGAAAGAATTAATGCTCTTCTACTTGTCTGTATACCTTGCTGATGGTAAGCAAGTCCCAGACCCGTTTCCTGTGCTGAACTGAGGTCCGGCAGGAAAGCAGCCAGAGTAGATGAGAAAATATTCCTGAACCATAATGCTTCATTCTCTTGTCCCTTCAAATGCTGATCCTTGCTATTCTGGATCTTCAGTATCTCTTTCACTGCAGACCCAAAGCCTCAATTTTCCTAGTTAAGATTTTCCTAGTTCGTACTCCATAATTTCTCTCTACTTTGGATATCTATTAACATCACCAAAGTGACAGTACAGAAGTAGCTAACAACTCACTGAATCCTTTTTCTCTATGATCATTCCAAAATGTTGGCCAGTCAATATAGTAAGAAGTCATTATTTCCCATACTAGCGAGGAATCTCCATATGCCTGCTTCACAAGATTCTGTGAAAAGCTTTTTCTTCACATTCTTTTAGATGTGTACATCTGTCCATGGGATCTGACCATTATATCCTCTTTTGTTTATAGTGATCTCAAATTTTCACTATGTAAACTTTGCCTCATTTCTCCCCAACTTTTTCATTGCTTCTCTGTCAACTGAGTTTCATACTGTCATGTTCACATTAGATATTAGACATTTACATATATACACACCAAACACAAATTTCTTCTAAGCAAACACACAGGACTATGTCACAGTGTTTGAGATGTGCTGGAGGTGACCACTATCCATGAAAAACCTCTCTATAAACAGAGACACTCTTTGAGCAAAAAGTGTGTTCAGAGACACCTAACTATCTCCCATCCTCCAGCCTGGACTGCAATTACACCATTAGGGAGTAAATGGGTGGTTGGCCTTTGCTTTAAATAACCATCTGGGTGGCTCACCCCTATAATCCCAGCACTTTCAGAGGCTGAGGTGGGCAGAACACTTGAGCCCAGGAGGTCAAGACCAGCTTGGCCAACACGCCAAAACCCTGTCTCTACTAAAAATACAAAAATTAGCCAGGTGTGGTGGCCCATGCCTGGAGTCCCAGCTACTTGGGAGGCTGAGGTGGGAGAATCGCTTGAACCCAGGGACAGAGGTTGCAGTGAGCTGAGATCACACCACTGTGCTCCAGCCTGGACAACAGAGTGAGACTCCATCACAAAAAAACACTTCCAACAAAAGTATTTATACAACCTCCCTAAGTAATCTCATAAAATCAAATTCTCCTCACACCTGTAATACCAGCACTTTGGGAGGCTGCGTCCAGAGGAGTACTTGCATCCAGGAATTCAAGTCTAACCTGGATCACAGCAAGACCCTGTCGTTATCCCAAAAAAAAAAAAAAAAAAAAGAAAAGAAAAGAAAACACGGAGTCTTGCTCTGTCACCAGGTTGGAGTTCAATGTCATGATCTCGGCTCACTGCAATCTCTGCCTCCCAGGCTCAAGCGATTCCCCTGCCTTAGCTTCCCAAGTAGCTGGGACCACAGGGGCATACCACCATGCCCGGCTAGCTTTTTGTATTTTAGTAGAGACAGGGTTTCACCATGTTGGCCAGGATTGTCTCATTCTCCTGACCTCATGATCCACCCGCCTGGGCCTCCCAGAGTGCTGGGATTACAGGCGTTAGCCACTGCACCCAGCCAAAAATTTTTTAAAAATTAGATGGACATGGTGACTCACAAGTGCAGTTTGAGCTACTTGGGAGGCTAAGACAGGAGGATCCCTTGGACCCAGGCTGCAGTGAGCTATGATGGTGCCACTGCACTCCAGCTTGGGTGACAAGAGTGCATCTCTAAAAAAATAATTTTTTTTAGAAAAAGGATCAATGTGATTAAACATAAAATAATTTGTGGGCACCATTCTTGAGTTTGAATGTATGCTAGTAATGATGCAATAATTTATAAATATCCTTATTAAAACTACTGCTACTTGTGGTACTTACCTTTAATCTGATGAAACTGTTTAACCAGATCCTTTATATCCAGAGAAGTATTCACTGAAAGAATACAGGAAATACAGATACATAAAATTCCCAACTTAAAATGTTTTCTTTTTTTCAAAGTAGCAAACATATAAAATAACAACAAACCTTCTCTATACATAGTAAGTTCTTCAAAATAAACTGCTGCAAACTGGACGATGTTTGATGGGTTGCTTTTGATAATGGCGATGCTAATTCCTTCGAGTAGAGTCTTGAGGCCATAGGGTATGCAAAATCTGGGCTTTGAAGAAATCATTTTGGTAGGATGTCTGTAACTCAAGCAGAATGAAAAAAAAAAAAACAAAGTCTTATAAATAATTTTACTAAAATAGTTATCAGTTAACTATACTTTCCAAGAATAAATTATCTCCTATTAAAATTATTAACTTTAATTCTAATATTTAGGTATTCATTTTAGTAAAATGGACTAATTCTTGATGGTAGTTAAAAAAACCACAACTCTACTACCAATAGCTTACTAAGTGCAGATGAGCAATCTAGTACCATTATAGAAATGCACAGGAAAAACTCTGCCAAGACCCTGAGGACATTAAAAATGAACAAAAAAAAAAACCTGCTCTAAAATTCAGTGAATATTTTGTGCAGTTAACATTTCATGTACGTTTCTAAACAAGTCCTTCCAAACCACACAGGCACTGGCCCTTCTGTACTTATATTAATCAAATGTTACAAGACAGTTTAAGAAAATATCTTTTTTCCTTATTTTTCTAAATAGATCCTCAGACATGTTGCTTATCTTTAAGTGGACATTTTTTAGGTTTAAATTTTTTTTTCCAGCCTGCTTCATACCTGCAGGAATAAGTTTGTTTTTAACATTAATCAGAGTGGGTATAATTTATTTGTGGCATTATTATACCACCCACTGTCACCTGTACCTTTCTTTTCTCGTATCTCCCTTACCCTCTGCCCAGATTTTCCCTTGTTTCCCTTTCTGCCTTTCTGACTTTTAAGTAGTATCAAACATATTGCACAGACCAATCTGTAATTCTCAGAGTTGCAGAGACTGCCACCTTAAACTGTGTCAGGGTGTATGTGTTCTAACTCCTTCTAAAATATCTCCAGCTTCTAAAGAACAAAATTAAATATTTAAGAAAATCTCTAAAGTGGGGAGGGGAAAACTGACAGGAAAAACAGGATGAAAGTACAGGTGAAGTTAGTACTCCAGTGCATGCCACAGTGCCTTAACTTTGATAAAGATGGGTATCAAATCTGTCCCCTTGACAGCCCTGCTATCAAGCTGCCATCACAAAATAGGAAACAGGTGGTTAAATGATTCAGGTTTCCTGAGGTGAAAAATCAGTTGCTTGGGAGAACCACAGCTATTCTGGATACTGAAACCCAGGAGAAATTTCTCCCCCGAGTCCTTATAAAGCAAATGGTGTGATATAATGAACCAATGTCCTCAACAACATCCTACAGTAAATAATGAGTTTCATGGGGCTAAGTGGCATAGTTTAGTTACAACAATTATAGAAGGGCCCAGCTTCTGTTATAAAGTAACTAATATCTCATAGCAAAATGTTGAATACTTAAAAGCACATCTCATCTTCCCAAAGGTCAGGACAAAATGAATGTTTGGCCAAAGCACACCCTTAATGAAAACTTCCTTTCACAGTATCATTCGACAGATTTACTGAATTAAACCATCTTTTAAAAAATCAGAAGTGATCCAGCAATCCCACTGCTGGGTATATACCCAAAATAATGGAAATCATACACTGAAGAGATACCTGCACTCCCACGTCTGTTGCAGCACTGTTGACAACAGCTAAGATTTGGAAGCAACCTAAGTGTCTATCAACAGATGAATGGATAAAGCAAATGTGGTACATACAATGGAGTACTATTCAGCCATTAAAAAAGAATGAGATCCTGTCATTTGCAACAAAGTGGATGGAACTGGAGATTATTACCTTAAGTGATATAACTGAGGCATATAAGGAAAACATTACATGGTCTCTTATTTGTGGTAGCTAAAAATCGAAACAATTGAACCCATGGACAGAGAGTAGAAGGATGGTTACCGGAAGTTGGAAGGGTAGTGGGGGCCTGGGTGGGGAGGGGGAAAGTGGGGCTGGTTAATGGATATTAAAAAAATGAATAAACCTACTGTGTGATAGCACAACAGGGTAACTATAGTCAAGAAATTAATTGTACATTTAAAATAAGAGTGTAACTGGATTGTCTGTAACACAAAGGATAAAAGCTTGAGGGGACAGATGCCCCATTCCCCATAATGTGATTAACATTGTGTGCCTGAATCAAGACATCTCACGTACCCTATAAATATATACACCTACGACGTACTCACAAAAACAAAGAATTTTTTAAAACATCGAAAGTGGGGCTTCGGCAGGCCCCACATGCTAAATGCTAACGGGCACAGGCAGCACTCATATATGTCATACATATAATTTTCTTTCAGTACCCAAGGTGAGTAGATAGACCGTTCTGAAAGGCTCCCATGAAACACGATGGCGCCAACCTTTCGGGAGGCAGTTAGCAGTTGGTGCTACTAACAGTGGGGACAGGGGCCATGCACTCCATCCTCCCCTGTCCTAGTTCTCACTCCGACTTTGGGAACGCGTGGGGCCAGGGACGCTAAACAGCCTGCAGTTCATTCAGTTCCCCACAAAGAACGATCCTGAGCTAGCTGAGAAAAATCAACGGGTAAAATCGTCACAAACACTATTAGGGTTAAGAGCGACGGCTTAATATTCTCCCCAGATCTCTCCTATCAACAATACCGGTCCAACACTAGCACAAGTAAACCCTCCCCCGCCCAACTGCAAATGTCCCTGCGCCTGCTGCCACAAGGGTCACGCCGTAAGCAAGAAACACGATGCCTTTCAGGAAGCGAGCGGGGGGCTTCGGAACCACAGGTAACGGAAACCGCACTCTCCAACTCCTCCCTAAAGGGAGACTCCGTCAAAAACAAACAAAAACTCTAGTGTGTGGGCCCCCGCTGGAAAAAACAAAAACGGGTGTGTGGGCCCCAGCTGTGTCAGTGCTCCTCGTTTTGCACTTGGTTTGGTCTCTTTGGGAGAGAGGGGAGTGAGATGTAGGTGGCTACGCGTGCTCTTGTCGCCGGCACAGGAGGCGGGTGACGGACCCGCCGAGGCCCGGATTCGGGAGCGCCACCACAGCGCGGGCAATCCGCTGGCCTCACTCCCCGGTGTGGGCGGTGCCGCCCCAAAGGCCCCCAACTCCGAGGACCCTCTGCTTGGGGCTCCCTCGACCTCTCCAGTTACACGAGACGGCCTGAGGCATGACTGTCTCCGAGGCCGCAGAGTACGCCTTTTCCCCAGACTCTCCCCACCTCCTTTCCGGCCGCGTTCTTAAGAGCTTCCTCGTTGCCCGCTTGCGGGCGGCTCCTGAGGAGGCCTGGCCCTTGTGGGCCTTTTTATATCCCCAGAGGCGCGTCAGGGCGTGCGCCACAAAGCCCCGCACGCACGCAAGGGGGCGGGGCCACAGCGGCTGTAATCATTGGGAAGCTGAAAGCTAGGAAATCCGTAATGTGGCCGGCGAGGCATGTTTCCTCTTTTCTGGCTAAATCTGAAGGGATTTAGGTGAATTTATTTCCAAACAAACGGCCGGGAGTAGCTCAAAGAGACGCCTCTCCATCTTTGGTTGTAGGCCTAAAATTAAAGCTGGTTTGGAAGGAAATAGATTTATGCTGGTGCTGCCTTGCTGTCGCTGCCTCGCCATTTCACACACTGCTCCTGGCCCCTAAAACTATAGCTCTCTTTCGTGACCTTTAGGAAGAATAATTTCTGCCACGGTGTAGACATAAAGAGTGAATAGCTAGGAGGCTGAGGCAGGAGAATTGCCTGAACCCAGGAGGCGGAGGTTCGGTGAGCCCAGATCGCGCCATTGCATTCCAGCCTGGGTAACAAGAGCGAAACTCCGGCCCCCCCCAAAAAAAAAAAAAAATGAATAACTTTATGCAACAGAGTACTTTTTCTTTTGGAAAACTCTCCTGTGGAATGGGAGTTCAGCATGAATCCCGAAATTTCCTGTTACTCCATACTTGAGATCAGACACCATTTATCCCTCAAAAGCACACCGTCAGCAATAGGTTGCAAGTGAAAGAGTTACTGCATGCAACTTCCACTCAGTTTTACCAAACTAAAGGAATGTTAAGTTTAAAAACGCCCACTCCCTGCCATTTCACTCATTTAGGCTCAGGTATTTGGGCGGGGGTCATTTAAATAACACCATAATCATGATTATTTGAGTACAAACAAGCAGCCTTAGTTTTGATCCGTCTTCAATTGTTTGAAAAGCAGCTACTGTGGCCGGGTGTGTTGGCTCACGCCTGTAATCTCAGCACTTTGGAAGGCTGAGGCGGGCAGATCAGGAGGTCAGGAGATTGAGATCATCCTGGCCATGGTGAAACCCCGTCTCCACTAAAATACAAAAAAAATTAGCCAGTCATGATGCATCTGTAGTCCCAGCTACTCAGCAAGACTCCGTCTCAAAAAACAAAAAGCAAATACTTTAAAGAGAATCAAAAGGGCAAATATCTAACAACAAAAACAACAAAAAACCCCTTTTTTTAAATTCAGAAAATATTAGGGCTTCCAGGGCACTTTGCAATAAAAGGCAATGTAAGGCCTCAGTCAGCATTATCTGGGGCCATTTATTAATCCATTTAATAATTACTGAGAGCCAGGCAAGTTTCCTCTTCTTGGGAAGATTACACACTTAAAAAGGGAGAAATAGCGAGACTAAATCTCACAAAAAAAAAGAGGGAGGAATGCTTTTAGACTGTGTTGGTGGGTCTGCAGATGATACAGTTTTCATCCTTCATCACTTGCCTCCAGCACCACTTTGGTAATGTAAATAAAAGTGAGATGAGGTTGTCATAATTTCTGATGGCTTGGTTTATAACACATTGAACTATCAGAGAAATAATGAACTGAACTACTAAAAAATCCTAAGTACAAACACTGAGGGCTCATCTATGGTGTTTTTTGGAACTGGAGACATTTATGGTTGTTTAACCTAACCTGGGTGGGTCATATCAAGCATCTATGAGGTGCACAGTGTTATGCAGAAATACCTGTAACTCAGAAAATAAGATTTTACTCTTTCCTCATTGCAATGTTTTGGCTGAATCACTCTGAAATGCAAATTGTTTCAATGAAAACATCTAACCAAGAACTTTCAAACCATTGCCCATCTGCTGCTTTCATTTCTTGAACTCTTAATGATTTGATGTGGTTTCACAATGTTGGCCTCCTTTTCAGTCACCAGTATTTTATTTGCTGGTCACCAGTGATTTAAAATGCAACTGTCTTCTTTTCTACTGCCCCTCCCCCACACCCCAAATCCTTACCCTGTGAAGTCCACGGTTCTGGGTGTGGCCTCTGCATACCTCTCCTATTCCTCTCTCACCATGTGGTTCCCACTTGACCCTCCTGAGTCTTAAACACACATGCCATTTGTCACCTCCGTGCTTTTTGCTCATCTGGTCCAAGGCCTTGGAAACAGCAAGTGTTTTCACCTGACTGGATCCTGCTTATCCTTTAAAACTCATCTCAGAAATCTCCTACGTTAGGAAGCCAGTGAGTTAGAAGCATTTTCTCAGTGGCCCCATGATGTATGCTCTATGACTTACCCTTGCTATATAATCCTATATACTTCTACTTGTGTTTGACTCTTCTCCCAGTTTTACTAAATACTTAACAAAAGATAAATAAGGCAATGTTTTTCTAATCCACATCACCTGCATAAGAAATCATCCCAGGAGCTTGTTAAAAATGCCTTCCCAAGCCCCAACTCAAACCTATCAAATCAGAATCTCATGAAAATTGACAACCACTGGCCTCTGGGAAGAGGAATTAAGCATTACATAGAGGTCACCTGGGTTTCAAATGTGTTGCTTCTATTTCACACCCAAGTCAACTAGGTGATACCCTTGCTAGATTTCACAAGAAAACCAGTTAAATTGTGCTCTTGGCGATTTCTGCATACTTTACTGAGGAAGGAGCATATCTGTTATGGACTAACTTTTTCTCTTGCTCCCCTAACCTTTTCTCTTTCTGCATTTCCTCTTCTAGCTTCTAAAGTATCTGACTCAACTATATATCTTCTTGGATGATCTCAATTTAACAATTGCCTTTCTACAAAATATAGCATCCACAGAAACCAAATAGTATATCATGATTTTGTGAATGTGTATCTTCATAGTGTAAAGCCGTATTTGAACACCTGCCACCATGATTTACTCCAAGAAGAAAGCTGATGGAAAAGTTTATACAGCAGTGTGTGTGTGTGTGTGTGTGTGTGTGCGCGCACACACGAGCACATGTGCTCATTTTAAAAATCAGATATCACTTGTCCTTTAACTTTAGTTGGCAGAGACAGAAAAGTGCAAATTCGGTAAATAATTGACTTACACAATATGTGACAATAAATATTCTAATTTTCTGTGACATCTAAAAGTTATAATTCTTTACTCAGTAGAAGACAGCTATCGGGTCCTAAAATAAAAAAGATACCTAACCCATTGAAGGTAAAATCTTAGTTATATTAACCAGCAAGGTACATACTACATTATTATTACTAGACCATGCCTCCAAGTGTGTCAAATTATAAAAATGTGTTCAGCATACATAAAATATACATTAGAGATTTCTCTCATCATAGGCACAATCTAATACAAAAATATATTTGACATTTATAAATTTAGAAGATCCACTGAGAGCCTCCAAAATAGGAAAGGGGAAGGAGTGAGTGATAACAACATAAAAAAAGAAACACACATAGATGCAAATAGTTGCACTTATATGATTATTGTCTTCATCAGCAAAGGGTTAAGAGCAGTTTACACCAAACCAGGTTACCAGGCGGATCACAAGCAGTTCATAGGTTGGATGAGTCACAGCACGCAGGCCAGAAAATGTACTCAGACTTCAGTCAATCTAATGGGACAGTGTACTCACACTGTGGTTTTGTTGTTTTAGAGTCTAGAAGCTCCATCTACCCACTCTCCATGGTATACCACCAAGTTAATATAGATGTTCCAAGGGGGCCATCTGTACCAAGCCTAGGATAGACTCTTTAAAAAAAAAAAAAAAAAAAAAAAAAGACCTTGCTGGGCGCAGTGGCTCATGCCTGAAATCCCAGCACTTTGGGAGGCCGAGGTGGGTGGATCACGAGGTCAAGAGTTCAAGACTTGCCTGGCTAAGATAGTGAAATCCCATCTCTACTAAAACTATAAAAATTAGGCGAGGTGGCAGGCACCCATAATCCCAGCTACTCTGGAGGCTGAGGCAGGAGAATTGCTTGAACCCGGGTGACAGAGGTTGCAGTGAGCCTAGATGGCACCACTGCACTCCAGCCTGGGTGACAGAGTAAGACTCCATCTCAAAATAAAGAAATACAATTTTAAAAAGACCTACACTTTGACTAGTAAAGAAAACCTACAGGATGGTGTTGCAAAACACAAAATTGTCTATCCAGGTAAGTGAGCTGAACACAAACTAATTTGAAGTCCTGTACTCTCTATGGAGAAATAAATGTAGTTTTGTAAGCAGGCAGAAATAAATCTTTTGAAAAAGAGCCAATTATGTAATCTTTGAATATGGAATAATAGTTCAAACAATATTTTAAACTGAAAATTCAAGAATGAACTCTGAAACGAGAATGCCATGATTCAGAATGCTCCACGATCACGACAGAAAAGCTTGTCACCTATGCTGCACGTTAAGAGAACAAAATGGCAATAGCTGTATTTTAAAGATTCATAATGTTCTTCCCTTCAGTCTAGATAAAACCAGATATCCAATATTCTTCGACATCAATTTTTCTCTTCAGAAAAAAGTTCCCTTCTTGGCTTCTGGAGGCTCTCATACACTGAATATAGGAGAGCAATCTCTTCTCTCTTACTATTATGTAAAATCCACACCGAATTCACATCAAGAGAAAGTCAGTGTGAATAAACACTTTGGAAACAGTCTACTGAAAAGTGACATCATCAGTAACAGAGATGAAGAAACATGAATATAGTTTTGCCAAAGTCAGTGAGAAATAACTTCTTTCAAAGAAATTATGATTATTCCTTCAAAACAAGGTCAAATCAGATTAAATTTGCCAACATTCTACTTGCTTTTCTCATGTTTTATTTTGAAAAGAAATATCAAAATATTAATATCGTGAGATCATGCTTCAGCCAAAAGAATTTGTAAATAACGATACTCCAAAATGATACCCTTTTGCTCAATAAAAATTTCTTTAAAAACCTAACCTTAAACATTGAGCCAAATTATGGCAGAGATTCTTAAAAGTGACTGAGGTATTTAGATTCTTCAAAACCACAGGTTTGCAGTACTGGGCATGGAGGTAAATTAAATGACAATAAAAATTAGCAATGAAGATAAAAAAATAACTTTGAATTCCTTTTATAATATCTAAATAACCTGAGCTAAGGGGAAAATGATTAAAACCTGGCACTGTGTAGCCCAGCAAATGTTCCACCAGCAAATATTTTGAGACAAAAATCTATGTTCATTCACGAATAATCTTTCAAGTCATTTGTTAAAGGATTTCCAAAAGTTGGTAATTTGACAATTTTCAGAAAGAAAGAAAAACTCACAAAATGTAGATATTATTTGTCTAATCTATAGACTATGCCTTCTAAGAGATTAGCAAAAGGGCTACACTTTTAGTTGTAAAATTATCTTCTATTAATATTTGCTCCTAGTTGGTTGGCTTTCAAAGGAAAAAAGAGTGTCCATCACTTTGAAACATTCTGTAGACAGTCTGGAGATGAGTATTTCTGTTGACATGTCTTCAACTGAAGATTTTGTTCTTTTAGTAAGTAAAGCATGGAATTCTGGCCTATTAACATAAATTTTTTTTATAATAAAAAGAACAGTTGGTCAGGAGATCTGCTTTCTATTCATTTTTCTGCTGACAAAAGGAATAATTAATTGGGATAAGTCAATTAGCCTTTCTGTGCCTGAGTTTCACTGTCTGCAAAGTGGGGTTAAGAATATCTGTGCTATGTCATTCACTGGAGTTGTGAAGATAAAGTAAAACGCTAGAAAGCACTTTTATTTTTTCAAAACACAAATATAAATGCTATGTCATGATATTGTTAATAATTTACAGGTACCTTGTAATGTTACCCATTCAGATATGTGCTTACATTAGGATCTTGGGTTGGATATTTTGTTTGATTTTTAAAAATAATAAATCACAAAACTAAAATGTTTGAGCAAGGTCACTTAACCCTCTCCCCAGGTGGTTAGTCATAACCATCATCATCCTCCTCAACATCATTATTACTTTTTAGCTACATGTTTAAAAGAGGAGATCTTTAATATGTCAGCTTCAGTGGGAAAATGTGTCTCTGGCACAGGTGGTTTTCAGAAGAAAAGCCGATCTTCACAAGAGCTTTGTCCTCTGCTTTTATTTTAAAGTGCGGACCCTGGGTGGGGAGGGACAGAGCAGGTGTTCCAGGTCTGTCACTGAGGAACTAATTCCCTCAGAGAGGCCAGAGCAGCATGGATGCGGACATGCAATCTGTTTTCAAAGTCGTAGCCAGAGAAATCCTCCTGTAAGATCAAAGAAAGATATTTATGCCCTCTGTTAGCTAAGCTTGCACAGGGTACTATGGTATAAAGCATACACAGTTTTGTACTTCCCAAAGTAAAATCTCCACACTCCTAGTAAAGGCTTCCCATCCACTTGATTTTCATATTACTCAACCTCAAACTTTGTATTCATTTTTGAAAACAGCAACTGAATGTCAATAATGAATGTTCTCTTTGGACAATTTTCTTCATGTTATTCTTGAAAAAGTAGTCTTACGTTGTGCTCAATATAAGTTACTGTTGGAAATTCTTAATTCAAGGACATAGTTATAAAATCTAATGTTATTTTCCCACCCAAACACTAAGAGTGTTTCTAAAGCAGGATGAACAATTTCATCGGAGTTCCTTATGATCATGTAATTTCCCTTAAAACTCAAAAGCTCACTGAGTCAATTGGTTATCATTTTTCCTACACAGAAATATTACCAACCAGAACATCACTGCATAAACTTTCTGGAATTCAGACTCAGGTGTACACTGTACGGGATAAGAAAGGCCACTGGAGAAAGGTAGATTCAGGATATTTACCTTTGCTTGAAGAAGTAGAGTTCTGCCTCTTCCTACAGTCTATAAGAGAAACACATTATCCCTTAAAATCTGTGTTTATATATATGCAGGCAGAAAATGGTATAAGGAAGCTATGTTAATTAAAACAATTCACAGCACACACAGCAATGAGTCAAGTGTCCATTCAAGTATAATGACTCCAATATTCTTTTTTTTTTTTCAGATGGAGTTTCACTCTGTTGTCCAGGCTGGAGTGTGGTGTGCCGTGGCAAAATCTTGGCTCACTGGAACCTCTGCCTCCCATGTTCAAGCAATTATCCTGCCTCAGCCTCCTGAGTAGCTGGGTTTACAGGTGCCTGCCACTACGCCCAGCTAATTTTTTGTATTTGTAGTAGAGACAGCGTTTCGCTATGTTGGCCAGGCTGGTCTCAAACCTCAGGTGATCCACCACCTTGGCCTCCAAAGTGCTGGGACTACAGGTGTGAGCCACTGTGCCCAGCCTCAATATTTTTTAATATAAAGATGTTTATTTGTCTATATGAGGACATTACTTGATATATAATTACTTGATAAATAATTTTTCGTAGTCTATAAAAGGTAACCTCTAAAATATATTAGGTTAAAATCGTACTAAACAACCTTAAAATTAATGATTAGATAATCAGTAAGTTATACAGCTATAATCTTTCTTTTTTTTTTTTTTTTTTTTTTGAGACAGAGTCTTGCTCTGTTGCTCAGGCTGGAGTACAGCAGCACAATCATGGCTCACTGCAACCTCAAACTCCAGAGATCCTCTCACCTCAGCCCCCAGGTTAACTGCGACTACAGGCATGTATCTGCTGCCATGCCTGACTGTTTTTTGCTTTTTTTTTTTTTTTTTTTGGTAGGGATGAGGGTTGACTTTGTTGCCCAGGTTGGTTTTGAACCTCTGGGCTCAAGTGATACTCCTGCCTCAGCCTCCCAAACTGCTGGGATTACAGGTATGAGCCACTGAGCCTGGTCATATTTTATCTTTTAAAAACTGTGTTTTTCCTATACCTTTTCTACATTTAGATACACAAATACTTAACACTGTGTTACGGTTGCCTACAGTATTCAATATAGTAACATGCTGTGCAGGGTTCTAGCCCAGAGCAACAGGCTATAGGTACAGCCTGGCTGTGCAGTAGGTGATAGCAACAGGTTTGTGTAAGTACACTCTGTGATATTTGCACAACGAAGGAATCACCTGACAGCACCTCTCTCAGAATGTCATTAAGAGATATATGACTGTAATTTGAATTCTAGGGAAGAAATTACCTCCTTAAAGAGAGTAAGATAGTATTACTAGCTTCTTGGACTCATCCTAAGTGAAATCAAGGGAAACAAAATGAAGAAAACTGTGTTGAATCAATTTGTTTTAAATGAAGGATGCTTTGTGTTTGCTCACTTCTACATTTTTGTTGATGAACATTACTGAAATATACATAGAGAAGACCTTACCTCTGGTTTGTCTAATAGAAGACAGCCAAGTTCATAACAGGCATAAGGCTGAACATACAAGTTATTCTGACGACACAATTCATCTTTCACAGCCCGCTGGAAGTACTGAAAGGAATGCAAATGTTATTGGATGAATTCATTTTCCTACTTAGTGTAAGGCTTATTACAATCTTCAAGAGGTGGTGGGAAGGGGGACTCATACTCTGTTTTCTAGATCAGATGTTTTCTTCTTTCCTCATCTTCATTCCTTCCTATCTGTATCTTAGAAGTTCTTTACATGCTGCCTGAAGTGTGTTCCTAGAATATATTAGACTACCTAATCTGTGCTACTTATTTTTCCAGAGCACATATTAGCCTCTGTTGATTTTATTACTGAGAACAAGTTTATCTGTATCTAAGAGTGTAAACATCCCATTTTAATATTTAAAACAGAAAACACACAAGGCAACTACCATCTCTTGACATGTGTCTTGATTGTATCTTGCAAGCACTTAAGCATTTGATCTAAAATAAGCTATTTAGGGCTGTAATAACTACCATAAACCCATAGTGAAAGACTAAAGTTACAAGGACATTATTATCTAGGATTTAAAAGCCAAAAGTCTCCTAATATTGTACACTGATTCCTTTTTTTTGAGACAGAATCTTGCTCTGTCACCCAGGCTGGAGTGCAGTGGTGAAATCTTGGCTCACTGCAACCTCCACCTTCTAAATTCAAGCAATTCTTGTATCTCAGCCTCCTGAATAGCTGGGATTACAGGCATGTGCCACCACACCTGGCTAATTTTTGTATTTTTAGTAGAGACAGGGTTTCATTATGTTGGTCAGGCTGGTCTTGAACTCCTGACCTCAAGCGATCCGCCTGCCTTGGCCTCCCAAAGTGCTGGGATTACAGGCGTGAGCCACTGCACCTGGCCACTATACACTGATTCTTTCAAAGTGTAGTCAAAGTAACACTGATACATACTTCTTCAAAACAACCAACTCACAAAAAAACTTGTTTAGAAAAATCCTTCCAACTATATTTAAAAATAATTAATAATTCTTTTTTATATAATATGTACACAGACTGTCCTAAGCCAATAACTCTCTCACTGACCCCCAGGACTGCATCAATAATCCAGTTATAAAGACTAGCATGTCCGATCGTTTTTGTTCTTGTCTAACTATGAGGCTTCATTCAGCTCCTTCAAACTTGTCTGCCTCCTCATGTCCTCCTCTCTCACGTAGAGACTGTCATCTTTGATAAATACTAATGCCGGAAAAGGAGTCCATATATAAAGAAGCATTCTAAGAATCTAAAGTAAAAACTAGTATTAACCATCATCAACTTGTAGCATCTGAGACAATGGCATTAATCAAATCAGTTGGATAAAGTTCATAGTGGGAGGTTCGGTTTTGTTTAGCACTTTTTCATTTTTCTTATTCACAAGCACATATGTAGGTGTTCACGATTTATTTTCTTTAGCCCTGACAACATTAACAGTTTACCTGAACAGCATCTTCTGAGTTTCCTAGGCATTTGTGTATGGCACCAAGAAGCAAATACTTTAATCCAACAACAGATGAATCATCCACCGCGTGGCAAGCTTAAAAAGAAGGAGAGTGAACACAGCAGTAAGAAAATGCATTCACTTAATTCCTTCAATATCATGCTGAGTGAGGTGAATATTTCAGTTCATGTTGCTGCCTCCTAAAACTCAGAAGGTACCCATTCCTCATCCATTAGTGAGTAGCCTAAGACAAAGAAAGGCAAAAATACCAAACTTCATAGAGCCAAGAAAACTCAAATTGCAACATATCATTACCTTGTGAAAAACGCCAATCTGAAAAGACACATACTGTATGATTCTAGGAACTATGAACCCTATGACATTTTGGAAAAGGTAAAACTATGAATCCAGTAAAAATATGAGTGGTTGCCAGGGGTGAGGGGAGAGGGAGGGATGAGTAGATGGAGCACAAAGAATTTTTAGGGCAATGAAAATTCTGTGTGATATCATCATGGTAGACAATGGTCCAAACCCTACTGTCTGTTCACTGAGTGAACCCTACTGTTAACCAGGGGCTTTGGGTGATTACGATGTATCAGTGATGGTTCACAGACTGTAACAAACCTACCACACTGATGTTGGTAGTCAGGAAGGACAGGGGTGGGTAGGAGCGTGTCAGGACTCTGGACTTTCTGCTCAATTTTGCTATGAACCTAAAACTGCTCTAAAAAAAAGTTCTGTTAATTTCTTAAAAATAACTTCACATTAAACTGCCATGCCATAGGCACCTTTCTGTTTGTATGAGGTACTATACTAGTCAGCAAGAGGGGATCAGAACTGATCCCTCCACTTCAATAGCAAGCTGTGGGGGATGGACACACAGATTGGAGAATGTTACGGGAGTTTTCCAAGGAAATGAGAAAGATGCAAAATGGAAACATAATGGAACTAATGAGGAAGAAAGGAAGTAATACAATTATTTCCAAAGACTAATAAAAATACTGTGAATCAACAAGATATGTATCTTACTGAATATTATGCATGTATTATCTTTTATATTATAATGTAAAAGTATATATATAGGCCAGGTGCAGTGGCTCATGCCTGTAATCCCAGCACTTTGGGAGGCCAAGTTGGGTGGATCACAAGGTCAAGGGATCAAGACCATCCTGGCCAACATGGTCTTTACATGACCATGTAAAACACGGTGAAACTCCATCTCTACTAAAATAAATACAAAAATTAGCTGGGTGTGGTGGGCACCTGTAGTCCTAGCTACTCAGGAGACTGAGGCAGGAGAATCACCTGAACCCAGGAGGCAGAGGTTGCAGTGAGCCAAGATTGCGCCCACTGCACTCCAGCCTGGGCGACAGAGCAAGACTTCGTCTCAAAAACAAACAAACAAAAACTATATATATACACATACACACACACACACACACACACACACACAGAGAGAGAGAGAGAGAGAGAGAGAGAGAGAACTCAAGTTATAGAACAAGTAATTTGAAGGCGAGAGGAAGAGGTAAATGTGAAGAATAGAAGCTGATCTTGTAGAAGCAGGAGTTGCCCCAGAAAGCCAGGCTGGGAATACAGTCCTAAGAAAAAGAACTCAGGCTCCTAAGGAGCAACAATAAGGAAACATTAATGCAGTTCATTCACTTGTTCGTTCATTCATTCATTCCTCATTCATTCAATTGTTATTGAGCACTACTGTTTGCCAGGCAGTTCTAGGTGCTTGGATTACAACAATTGCAAAACAAACAAAAAATTCCTTTGAGAGAAGAGGAAGTACAAAGTCATAGAGGCTGGTTGTGTCCAAGAGCAGGGAGTAGGGCTGTGCTGAGCAAGGGGGAAGAGCAGGGAGGGACAACAGCCTCAGGGATTACAGACTGGGAGCACTGCCTGCCGCTGAATGGACTTGGGCTTTTACTCTGAATGAGATGAGAGACCATAGAGGATTCAGGGAAACAGAGTGACACAACATGATTAGGTTTTAATAGGATCACTCTGCCTGTTGGGCCTAGAATACAAACATGTTTACAATGTAGCTGGGCACAGTGGCACACACCTGTAATCCCCACACTTTGGAAGACCAAGGCAAGAGGATCACTTGAGCCCAGGAGTTGAAGACCAACCTGGGCAACATGGCAAGACCCTATCTCTAAAAATTTTTTTTTTAATAGCTGGTGTGGTCCCAGCTACTCAGGAGACTGATGTGGGAGGATCACTTGAGCCAGGGAGGCAGAGGTAGCAGTGAATTGTGATCACACTACTGCACTCCAGCCTCGGCGAGATAGCATGAATCTGTCTCAAAAACAAAAACAACAAAAAACAACGCAGAGGAAGAACGCAGTGGAGAAGGGCAGGTGGGTGGGGAAAAGGTCATGGATGAAACGACAAGGATACAGGATTCTCACTAGCTCGGCTGGTGCAGGGAGCTACAGATGGGGACTCTGATAAGCTGAATGCACAAAATGGGGAGGGCATGATGCAGAGTTTAATAAATGTTTATGATCCACATTGCCACTATCAGTTTTTTCTGGAACATAACTATTTCTCTACAAAGATCTTCATTGTACTGATGTGGTTGGATCAGTTTGTACCATTACTGCTTGCCGTTGAGGAATGATATAATCGAATTAATAGACCTCAGAACTGGGTTAAATTTAGCTAAGATATTAAAGAATTATCTCATGCTCACTTCAGATGCTGTCTGTCTTCCCTTCCAGGCACACATCTTTGTTAGTTTTTCATTTTGATACCTGGAACGGGGTTCAGAGAATTTTTTGTCAAATCTCACTTAACTGATAGTTGTTCCTGTGACTGTTAATTACTGCCTGCCTTATATTTGTATTTTAATTTATCTTTAAACATGTGATCCTATACTTGTACATTAAAAAAAGTACTTAATATTCTTCATTGTTCCTTTGAGTTGGACATTAGTAGATGTTCTATACTTGCTCCAATAAGAAAGGGGGGTTGAATTATGCAAATACTTTATAAATAAATACAGCAGCCAGGTGCAGTAGCACACACTTGTAATCCTAGCTACTCAGGAGACTGAAGTGGAAGGATCACTTGAGCCCAGGAGTTTGAGGCTGCAGTGAGTTATGAATATACCATTTCACCCAGCCTGGGTGACACAATGAGACCTGTCTCTAAAATATAAAAAAAAATTTTTTTAAAGAGCATAGCACAATTTAACACATTCAAGAATATTCTGTTTCCTTTCCAGTTCCTCCTTGAGAGGGTCACACATCTACTCGGCTCACAGGACCATTGTACAAAACTTCTTTTTTTTTTTTTAAGACAGAGTTTTGCTCTTGTTGCCCAGGCTAGAGTGCAATGGCAGGATCTCCGCTTCTTATGGAGGAGTTTCATTCCTTTGATCTCTGGAATAGCAACACTGGCAACTGGCAATGTTTTGTTTTCACATTTGAGGAAAGACATTTTTTTTTCTGAAACCAGGAAGCAGAGGTTGCAGTGAGCCGAGATCATGCCACTGCGCTACTCCAGCCTGGGTGACAAAGCGAGACTGTCTCAAAAACAAAAAACAAAATACAAAACTAACCAACCAAACAAACAAAAAGAAACAGGCAAACGGGATTTGCAGGGTCTGATAAAAGTATGTGGCTCAATGGATCATGCCATAGTTAGTCAAAAACAAGAGTAACTGGAGAAAAGTCCGAACCAGTGGCTTATAAACTCTGTCTAGAATATTATGTCTAAACTGTCAATACTAAGTTTCTTGGGAAAAGGCAGCACATACATGAGTAAGAACATATTTCTTTTCCTATTTTTCCTTTTTAGGCAGGATCTCACTCTTGTCATTCAGGCTGGAGTGGTGGAACATGATTAAAGCTCACCGCAGCCTTGACATCCTGGGCTCATATGATCCTCCCACCTCAGTTTTCCCAATAGCTGGGACTATAAGTGCACACCACCATGCCCAGATAATTTTTTGTATTTTTAGTAGAGACAGCATTTCACCATGTTGCCCAGGCTGTTCTCAAACTGCTGGCTGAAGCCCTCTGCCTGCCTTGGCCTTCCAAAGTGCTGGGATTACAGGTGTGAGCCACCCCACCAGGACACACTTTAGTATCTTTTAATTTATGTAAATCACACCTAAAGGAAACAAAGTACTCTCATTGGGGGAAAAAATGTATGCTTCCAGCAACGCCCACAGCTACAGAATTAATAACATTTATAACAAAAGCATCACACACTTAAGGCAAGCAGATCTATACACAGCAGTGCTGCCTCCTCCTCCCGTCACCTAAGTGACAGGACTTCTTTCATCACCCTTTATCTAAGAAGGAGAGGTATGTCCTCTCCCTCAATTGGATGAGAAAAATGGGAAACTGAAGAATGAGCACTGACAAAAGAAGCCAATGTGTCCAGTACAGAGTTCTGGTTTTTTGTTTTTTTGTTTTTTTTTTTAAATTTTTTACCTTGACTCATCCTCTGCAGGTTGGGGAAGGAACAGTTTGGAAGAGCTTTCCACAAGTACAGCACTTCAATGGACGCCAGCACGCAGAGTGCTTCGGTTGGGGTTTGCTTCCGAAATCGCTCTGCCTGTAAGGAGTTAGAATAAACAGGCTCCATTTTCCAAGAACAAATTCAAATAAAAAATATACCTCGGACACTTTAGAAGCACATAGTTCATCATCAATGTGAATGACCTTCTCCTTCAAGCTAAGAATAGCAATTCCTCTGTCTATGAGAAATGTTTTTTTCAATTTTTGACATACTGAAAATTATGCCTTTCATTCATGATTCAACTGAACCTACTATCAAGATGCAGGGTACATTCTGAAAACCTGGGGATGAAACTAGATTTATGTGCATTTAGATCAACAAAATGTATAAAACTTGGTGACAGCTAATAATTCAGCAGGCTTATACAGAGGAGCTAAGACGGGATGCCTTTTAGTTACAGTTCTCTTGATTTTAAAATTTGCTATTTAGTGCCAGTGCTCTCAGCTGTACATTATTATCTAATTTATACTCAGACACTTCATTAAATATTCATTCAATAAAAACATATAAAACTAAAATAACTGATAATTCAGGATATAAGACATTATGTAACTCAAGGTAATTCAGCAAAATGGTATTCACAAAAGTATGGACTACATTAGGAACACTGTCTACAGTCCTGGCCTTACTGCTGGCAACTGTGGCACACACTTTGCTTTTTATTACGTCAAAATGTGAGGCGTTCCCTATTCTCAACCCCTCACAGCCTGCATTTCTCACTAGGCCCTGCCAATTTGGATTCTTCCAAAACCACCTAATTCTTTTTCTTTTTCTTTTTTTCTTTTGAGATGGCGTTTCACTATTGTTACCCAGGCTGGAGTGCAATGGCACGATCTCGGCTCACCGCAACCTCTGCCTTCTGGGTTCAGCCTCAATTCTCCTGCCTCAGCCTCCCGAGTAGCTGGGACTACAGGTGTGCACCACCATGCCCAGCTAATTTTGGTCTTTTTTGTAGAGATGGGGTTTCACCTCATTAACCAGGATGGTCTCGATCTCTTGACCTCGTGATCCACCCGCCTCGGCCTCCCAAAGTGCTGGGATTATACGCGTGAGCCACCGCGCCCAGCCAAAACCACCTAATTCTTTAGACAGAGCTTTCTCTTTAGAGTTGTGTTCATTAGCTCTGTAGAATGTATAATGTCTTCATTCATTTAAAAAAACAAAACAAACCACCTATACTCTGGTTACTCTTCAGCTCATATATCTCTTTTATCTTTTGCTAAATATTTCCATGAAGGGGAAACATTGTGAGTTTTAACCCAAAGTTTTGAGGCCCTATATCTGCAGGGCTGGTCAATTTTGAAAAAATCTGCTTTCATTATTTGCAGCAAGGCAAGAATCTTCTATTCAGGGCAGAGGTGCCATCAAGGAGAGAATTTTCTCCATGGTGGTAAACTGTGCTTTACATGGCAAGTAAATTGGCAGCCTGAAATACAATTTCCTAAAGCCTGACAAGGGGGTGTTGGTTACAAACGCCCATCATAAGTACATCAGATGAATAGGCTCCAACATACCTTTTTCACTGAGAACTGTTCAATCTGATTGTTTTTCCTTTTGAAGAGTTTCTGAACTTCTTTAAAGACAATCTGTGCCCCATCCACGTCACCAGTGGCTCCCTGACAAACTGTAAGAAACTGTAATTATATTTCTGAGTTTAAATCAGGGAAAATGCCACTAAGGGATACCTGAAGTGATGATACCTGGGGGGGAAAAAAAAAACAACCAAAAACATGAGCAAATATGTTTAAAGACCATTCCACAAAGGGCCGGGCATGGTGGCTTACGCCTGTAATCCCAGCACTTTGGGAAGCTGAGGCAGGTGGATCAACTGAGGTCAGGAACTTGAGACCAGCCTAGCCAACATGGCAAAACCCCATCTCTGCTAAAAATACAAAAATTAGCCAGGCATGGTGGTACATGCCTGTAATCCCAGCTACTTAGGAGGCTGAGTCAGGAGAATCGCTTGAACCTGGAAGGTGGAGGTTGCAGTGAGATGAGATGATGCCACTGTCCTCCAGCCTGGTGACAGAATGAGACTGTCTCAATAAAAAAGAAAGACTCTTCCACCCTGCTGATCACTTTTCTGGGTGCCTGTGTTCCCACAGATTTGAGGGAACTTGAGGAAAGCCATGGTCTTTGTCCTCTTGTTGGGAGACAGGTTCTCACATAACAAAATCCTTAGCTACTGTCTCAGTGTACAACCTAGTTAGAGCCCACATGCTCAGAAAGTGGAATAAATAGAAACCTAAGAAAGAACAGTGAAAAGCCCAGAGGATCGTGAAAGCTTCATGGTGGAAGGAGGATCTCCCTGTCCTAGGAAGTCATGAATCTCTCCTGTCCGTGTTCCTTGGCTGCCTACTACCTGTAAGCCACCAGCAAGAATGTGAAGAGGAAACACATGTGCTTGAACCCTGAAGAAACTGAAATTTCAGTAGAAGAGATCACACTTGCTCACACACACACATGGAGCCCCACAAGCTGCAAGCCATGTAGTGACAGGAGTCGTTAGGGTAGGAGAACTAAAGTGCTTTTTAGAAAGCTCAGAAAGTCAAGGGATCATTTCTCTTTGGCGTGACCAGAAGCTATAAGGAGCTAGGAGAAGTCAAGCGCATCTTGAGGAATGAGTGAGATTTTGATCACCTGCATACCCTCTTCTCACCTCAGACCCCAAAGATTTAATGATCCTCCCTTTGCTGTGTCTTCTCTGTTCCTTCTGCAAACTTCGCACTGGCTGCAGCATCACCACCTGCTTGAAACTTTACCACCACTCTCTGTCCTTTCCTCTTAACTGATGGTCAGGAACTTGAGACCAGCCTAGCCAACATGGCAAAACCCCATCTCTGCTAAAAAAAACCAGAAATGGTGCTGATTCCATTTCTATCCATTTTTTGGTTAGATCACGTGGTTTTTCACTTCCCAGTGGGAATGTACTAAAGTTGATTTGCTAGTTCATTCTTCTTTTTTTGAAAAGATGGAGTCTCACTCTGTTGCCAGGCTGGAGTGCAGTGGCATGATCTCAGCTCACTGCAACCTTGGCCTCCCGGGTTCAAGTGATTCTCCTGCATTAGCCTCCCGAGTAGCTGGGACTACAGGCACACACCACCATACTCAGCTAATTTTTGTATCTTTAGTAGAGACAGGGTTTCAACATCTTGGCCTCTGCCCACCTTGGTTTCCCAAAGGGCTGGGATTACAGGTGTGAACCACGGTGCGTGGCCACACAGTTGCTTTAAAAGATGCAGATGCTTAAAAGCATGGGAGTCTCTGGTTTATCCTAAAACATGAGGCCTAAGCAGAGCTTAGGATGACTGGCTCTTCCATTAAGACTAAGAATACACAATCCCATATGTAATATTCGAATCTTTTTTGGTAACTTATAATTTTGATATAATTTCAAACTTACAGAAAAGTTGCAAGAGTAGTAGAGGTATATGATCAAGCAATTCTACGTCTAGGTATCTACCCAAAGGTATTGAAAGCAAAGACTGGAACAGGTATCTTTACACCAGTGTTCCAGGTAAGCACTCCACACAATAGCTAAAAACACCCCACATGTCCATCAATGAATGAATGAACAATATGGCATATACATACAATGGGATATTACTCAGCCTGAAAAAAGGAAGGAGATCCTGACACGTGTTACAATGAGGATGAAACTTGAAGCCATTATGCTAAATGAAACAAGCCGGACACAAAAGGACAAATATATTCCACTTACACACAAGATCGGTAGAATATTTAAATTCACAGAAATAGAAAGCAGAAATGTGGTAACCAGGGTCTTGGGGGAAAAGTGAATGGGGAGTTCCTGCTTAATGGGTAGAGATTGAGTTTGGGATGATGAAAAAGTTCCAGAGATGGATGTGGTGATGTTTGCATAACAATGTGTGTCTGGCATTACTGACACGTAAACCTAAAAAAAGTTCGAATGGTAAATGTTGCTGTATATTTTACCACAACTTTTAAAAGTAGAGAACTATTGACGTAGTCACACAAAACATTCACATGCTGGGGAACTAAGCCCTAGTGGCAGTGTTTGGGGCCCCTGAATGCCCATTCCCTCTAGCTCACCGCCAGCCCAAAAGGCAGCTCCTGCATGATGGTGTGATGGGTGCTCCTTCCCTGTCTCAGGCACTGTTTGTAGTGGAGCTATTCACCCACATCTTACCCTCTCTATAAAATCCCCATGCAGAAACAGAGATCAGAATCTTTCATGCTTATCCGCTCCTATCTGTAATATGGTCCTGGGATTTCCAAATATTGGGGGAATAAATAAATGTTCCTCTACACAGCCACACTGTACATTTACATAACTGAAGCTCAACAGAGATGAAAAAATAATCAGCTGTCCATCATTGTGCAGCCCAATGACACCTAATGGCTGCTGAGTTGTGTGCAGACTTCTTTTCTCTGGGGTATTCAATCTGGGTTAATCCACTCTTCAACGTATGAAACACAATGAGTCACTCAACAAATAGCTGCTACTTTCATCCGAGATGTCATCAAAATCTATACAACAACCCTTTAAGTGTAAGACATAGCATATTATGCGGTATTTGAAAAAGAAGCTTATTCAGACATCAGGGACAGAGCCATGAGAACATGCATGTCTGACGGGGACTGCAATGTGGAATACGGATGCAAGAGGGCTCTGCACTATTAATGAACTGATGCAACTTTATAGGGAATTTAAGATATCCAGAATATACTTATTGGCCAATGTTAATCAATTCTATCTTATTTTAAACAGATCAGTTAAGAGGGAAGAATGGAAGTGGAAGATGGTTCATTAAATCTGAACATTAAGAAGGTATTGAAAATAAGGTTTGGATTAGTCTTGAATTTTAAGTAAAAGAATCTCTTATGTGGCTGCATGAGGAGAGTTCACTACATAAGCCAGAGAAGGCTTACATGAAGTTGCTTAAAGGCAGAAAATGTACAACTGCGGCTTCACTTTCTTCAATTCCACCCCTCTACAATTCTAAATCATGTGACCCTTTAGGTATTGAAGGATGCAGACAACTATTTAGGCCACCAGGTGGCAGCACATCTCTACCTCATACAAGGGCAAAAAAAAAAAACACTCAGAATACAGGGGTTATTAACGATAAGCAATGTTGAAATACCTTGCATCTGAAATATCACACTGTAAATATAATAGGGTTAGGAGGTAAAACAACGTTGGAGCAGATGACTCAAACCTATGCAACTTTGTAACCAGAGCACTAACCTAACAAAAACATTAACACAGGCCAGGCTCTGTGACTCATGCCTATAATCCCAGTGCTTTGGGAGGCTGAGGCAGGAGGATCACTTGAGCCCAGGAAGTTAGAGATCAGCCTGGGCAACACAGCAAGACCTTGTTGCTACAAAATTTTTTTCAAACATTAGCTGGGAGTGGTGGGCATGCCTGTAGTCCCAGCTACTCTGAAGCCTGAGGCAGGCGGATGGCTTGAGCCTGGCAGCTTGAGGCTACAGTGAGCTGTGATCAGGCCACTGCACTTCAACCTGGGAAACAGAGTAAGACTCAGACTCGAAAAGAAAAAATTAACACAATGAAAAAAGACTGTTCAATTCTTAAAAATTCTTCAGAATCCTAATAAAGAAAAAACATAGCATAAAAAGTAAGGGAATAGAGACAGGTTGAAGCCATTTAGGGTAAAATGTACAATAACTGGAAGACCTCACAATATGCATTTCCAAGACAGAGAACAGCATTAAACCAGGTCCAGAGGGGAAGCGTGCGGCAAAGAGGCATCCTGGACACGGCTGAATTTCTAGGTGTTCACCTGTGTCAGTGAACACAGTGTTCCAGTGCTATTTACTTGGTTGCACAAAACACGAACATGCTGGGGAAGGCTGTGGAAGGGTGCAACGTTTACTTCCTTCTGCCATCATTTTCCTGTCTGCCCATGTCAAGTGAGCTAATTCATGACAGGGAGAGGGACCGTGAGGGACCGTGAGGGGCCATGGGCGACTCACCTGCAGTTAAGTAGGCATAATAGCACTGTGACCACCTGGACTCATTCTTTAGCCTCTCAAAGGAATCAAACGCATCCTTGAAATTGAGCTCTATCATGCTGCACCAACCTATGAAAGAAATATTTTTAGCACATGTCCCTAAAGTACTGAGCTCTATGACCCTTATTTAAGCCATGAGTCTCTGAAACTGCGATCATTCTCTGTGCATGTTCTATGAAATGCATAAAAACTTTAACCTGAAAACCTAAGAAATTATTTTTTCCTTTAAATACTTTCAATATAAAGTTTGAATTAGACAATGCACTTAGGTTTCAGTCAGACAACCAATGAAACAGCACAGAAGAGAATGGCATAAAATTTCCAGAAAGACACTCCCACTTACATCCTAACGGTTGTGAGGTTAACCCAAGCACAGCAGTACTTCTCCCAGAGTACACACAGCTGCAGTAACAAACTGGAAGCAACACCATTTGATTATGTACTCCGTAACTACTACTCATTCTTTTTTTAATTTTTCTTGAGATGGAGTTTCACTCTTTCTCCCAGGCTGGAGTGCAATTTTGAGATCTTAGCTCACTGCAATTTCCATCCCCTGGGTTCAAGCGGTTCTCCTGCCTCAGCCTCCCAGGTAGCTGGGATTACAGTCACCCGCCACCACACCCTGCTAATTTTTGTATTTTTAGTAGAGATGGGGTTTTGCGATGTTGGCTAGGCTGGTCTTGAACTCCCGATCTCAAGTGATCAGCCTCCCAAAGTGCTGGGATTACAGGGGTAGCCACTGTGTTTGGTCTACTCATTCTCAAAACTTCTTAAGATCTAGAGAGCAAGCCAATGAGAAATTAGGTATTTGCTCACCTTCCCTCAGCATGCTGGTAGAGAAAGAACCCCACCTTCCTGGATCAAAACACTGTTAGATGGGCATTCTAGTAAGGAACTGCCGCAACTAAAATGTAAAGGACTTTATTCCCAGTTTTCATCACAGTAACTCCCATCATTTGAGCCCCTAATGTGCACCAATGCTGTGGTAGGCACTTCATATAATGCTCTCTAATCCTTGTGACAATCTTGCAAGGTGGCTAACAGTGTCCTTGTGTTAGCAAGGACTAATCCTATGCCTGTAATTCTAGCACTTTGTGAGACTGAGGTGGGAGGATCACCTCAAGAGATCAAGAGATCAAGACCAGCCTAGGAAACATGGCAAAATACTGTCTCTACAAAAAATTAGGCGTGGTAGTACACACTCGTAATTCCAGCTACTTGGGAGACTGGGGTAGGAGGATCACCTGAGCCGGAAAGGTCTGGGCTGCAGTGAGTTGAGATTGCACCACTGCACTCCAGCCTGGGTGACAGAGTGAGACCCTGACACACACACACACACACACACACACAAAACTAAGGTATCAAGAGGTGTCTAACTTGCTGAAGCCATGCAGCTAAGAAGAAGGAAGAACCATGGATCAAAGTCCAACACACTTTCCTTTACATGATATTGCCCCCTTAAAAAAAATTTTGTTATCAGGTACATCACTAGTTGTATAAACTGAGACTTGCCATTTAAACTATGAGAGGAAGAGTGGGTGAGATATACAATTCAAAAATTTGCTGTCAAATCCTATGGGATATGATGCTTACATAGTTTAGAGTAAAAATTTGGGCTTTTTTTTTTGAAATGGAGTCTCGCTCTGTCACCCAGGCTGGAGTGCAGCGGTGGGATCTCAGCTCACTGCAACCTCTGCCTCCTGGGTTGAAGCCAATCTCTTGTGTCAGCCTCCTGAGTAGCTGGAATTACAGGCATCCACCATCAGGTCTGGCTAATTTTTGTGTTTCTGGTAAAGACAGGGTTTCACCATGTTGGCCAGGCCGGTCTTGAACTCTTGGCTTTAAGCGATCTGTCCCCCTCAGCCTCCCAGAGGGCTGGGATTATAGGCATAATTGGGGTAATATTTAAATTAAATACAAAACAGAGATGGAAGAAAGTATTGACTCAGGAATTAAGTCAGGAATAACTCGGGAATAAGTACTAACTCAAGCTTCTGACCCTGAATCAGAGGCCTGAGTAACTACGTGCTCCTCAGTTAACCTTCCTAAGGCCTGGGTTGGATGATTTCTAAGCTTCCTTCTGCTCTAACATTCTATCCTGTCACAGGCCTTGAAATCATGCACCAACAAAAGACCATCAAAGCTACACTTTTTCTTTTCTTATTTTTTTGAGACGAAGTTTCGCTCTTGTTACCCAGGCTGGAGTGCAATGGCGCAATCTCAGCCTTGGCTCACCGCAACCTCTGCCTCCTGGGTTCAGTCAATTCTCCTGCCTCAGCCTCCTGAGTAGCTGGGATTACAAGCATGCACCACCATGCCCAGCTAATTTTTGTATTTTTTTAGTAGAGATGGGGTTTCACCATGTTGACCAGGATGGTCTCAATCTGTTGACCTCATGATCCACCCTCCTCGGCCTCCCAAAGTGCTGGAATTACAGGCTTGAGCCACTGTGCCTGGCCAAAGCTACACTTTTTCATTCAAGTTCTTTGAAACACATTTCATTCTATATGATGGCTACTAAGCAGAGCTCCAGCAGAATGTAGATGACACAAAAACACATTTTTCCATTGGATTATACTTCATTTCCTCTTTTGAAACCACAACAGGCATTTAAAACATAATATTCTTTATTGGGCCATTTGCAATATTTTGGTTTTTCAGTTTTCCTTAAAAAGATTCAGGAAGACAATTGTGCCCACAGCAGGCAAAGCAAGTGGCAGGCAGCACAGGGCCTCGCCCCCCAACCTGACAGCTGTCAACTGCTTTCTCCAGCATTCTCTCTCCAATTCCTTGCCCCTCTGCAGAAAGCTTTTTAAGTCTCGATTTCCCTTTGGAGTCTCGTCACTATCTCATCATTTCTCCTTTCTCTTTGCCTCTGTCATTCCTTTCTTATATGCTACATGGCATGACCTTATAGCATTAGCTAAGCTGAAACTCTGAAAAGTCTGAGTCCCTTATTTAAAAATTTTTTTGTTTCAAGTTCCAGGTTGTGTTTACTTCTCCCAGCACAATGGAGAAACTGTTCCACAGAAGGATTTTGCAATTACTAATGTAAGAGGATCAGTGTTTTAGTGCAGTCAGCAAAGACCCATAGCAACAATTTTGGAGGAGAAAGGGGAAAGTCTTAGGCAGATCAATACCTCCAGGTGTGTTTGTGACTGTCTCTCCAGTAAGGGAGAAGCAGAAGGTGGCAGCTAACATGTATGGAGGGCCTTCCGTGCCAGGATGCATGAGGCTTCAATGTCATGTCATCTAAACCTAACAGCCGCCACAAGGGGAGGCCCTTTAACTCCAATGGCAACTCCGTGGCTAGGAAGGTTTGGGCAACGTATCTAAGATCTCAGAGCCAGTTGGTGAAAAACAATAAGACTTGAGTCCAACCATCTGCTGTCCCCTATTTTTCTTCTCAAGTCAATATTGGTGGGAAGGAAGAACGAAGAGTTTTGAATTCTAATGTGCAGCCCAATAAGGTACTTGCAGTCATTTAACCAATTCATTTAACACTATTATCCTGAAATCAAAATGCTATGAAGAAAAAAATGTTATAAAGAAGTAATGAGAATCAGACAGAGAAGTATCATTGCATGTACTATGGTAATAATTGAAGTACTTCCTACTACAGAAGGCACCAAGCATTTTGCAGACACACCGAATGACATGAATGCTAAAATACTCCACAAATACTACTTCCTAACAAGAGGCTGGACAGACATTCATATTTACCAATCTCATACAGACAGACATGCTGAATTTCTCTCTGATCTACTGCAAGTTCCAAAGCAGTGTGGAAAGACGTCAAGGCACTGTTGATTTGACACTAAGGAGAAAAGGAAAACAGTTACTGGCTAAGATCTGTCAATAACATTACAATCATCATAATTCAAAAGCATCTTTTTCCTTCATAGTTATTTTAAACAGGTTAGGCACTATGGAAGACAGTGGTTTAAAGACTGCTAGGAAAATACTCCAATTTGCCCCCACACAGCTGTGAAATTGACTTAAGCACAGAGACCCTCTCCTTTGCTCTGGTGATAAGGGCTCAGCTCGCACCTGCCTTCTCCTCCAGCATTCTCTCATACTTGTACAGTAGGACGTGTTGTATTTTAATTGTTTTCTAATCTAGCTCCTTGTTACCACATAGGTGTGGAAAGGGAAGGGGCTATATTTCATTCCCTTGTGTACACTCAACCCTGGCTCAGAAGTCTCTCAATCACTTCTGAGTGAATGCACGAAGCCACTCCCATTAGCCCAGTCCTCGGTGAACTCTTCACCATACAGTTGCTAGTTTGCTTCTTCTTCATCTTTTTTTTTTAGGCAGAGTCTCACTCTGTTGCCCAGGCTAGAATGCAGTGCTGCGATCAATCTTGGCTCACTACAATCTCCGCCTCTTGGGTTCAAGTGATTTTCTTGCCTCAGCCTCCTGAGTAGCTGGGACTACAGGCGACCGCCACCACACCCAGCTGATTTTTGTATTTTTAGTAGAGATGGGGTTTTACCATGTTGGCCAGGCTGGTGTTGAACTCCTGACCTTCTGATCTACCCGCCTCAGCCTCCCAAAGTGTTAGGATTACAGGCATGAGCCACTGCGCTGGGCCACTAGTTTGCTTCTGTACCCTAGAATGCTGTTCTCTAATTGCTTCTGGTCATCAAATCATCTCTCCCAACACTTTAGAAATTCTCTGAGGACCCAGATTACATTTCCAACATTTGCATTCACATAACACTGTCTGAAACCCAGCAAACTCTCAAATGTCTGCTCTACTTACTGCTACTTAAATACCTTTCATTTTTCATTCCACTAAAGATCTCGCTCAGAGTCTGCCAACATGATGCCACAAGCACCGGAGAGGAACAGCTCAAAAGCATCACCAAGATTCAAAGGGTTAGTTCAATCTTAAATAGGCATCGAGAAATACTAAATGTCACATATCATTAATAAGTAAGTCTTAAACACCCGGATCACCTGACAGCTTATTCTGAATGGTGTGTGTGGTCTCAGAGCATTTCTTTCTTGCTCTGCTGGTGCCAGGGCTCCTCTCACTGCCCTACATTGGCAGGGAGGTGGACTTCCTTCCCCGGGCTTCTGAGTGTGCCTCCTACTGCTTCTCTAAGTTCTCTCCCTCTTCAACGCTCCCAGCTGCCCTTCTCTCCACAGCCAGCCAGGTGGGGCAGAAGGGTCCTGGAAAGTCCTGGAGGAGAAGCTGCAGGCTTCTCAGAAGACGGGTCCCCCACCTGCAGACCTGGGCTCCTTTCCTCTGCACGTCACTGCAGGAGGCCTTGGGCAAGCAAGGGCGCCAATGAGTCAGCAGGTGATCTTCAGGACAGCCTGTGACTCAGGAACACTGTAAGCCAAATGACTCATTAACCAAGGCCCAGCTGGATCAATAGCTATTCAAGCCCCAAAGTAACACTCTCCTCTTTTGTCAGGAAGGTTGAAACTGCAGCATTCAATCCATTATCACCATTTATGAATGCTGACCAGGTAGCCACAGAAGACACTCATCACCACATCACTAATTCCTGTTCTCAGTAACTTAACGTCAGTTGGAAGAAATCTCACAGCCATGGGAATCACCCACAGCTCAGAAGGCAGACATTGACACTGACTGTTAACACACAGCCCAAATACAAAGCACCAAGGTTAAAAAATAAACTTTTATGATGCATGCATGTGTGCATGAATACATGTGTAGATATCTAGGCACTCATGTCACTCTCCATGTCTAATTTTTCCCTTTGGGGATCAACAGTTCTTTTCCTGAATCGGATATGCACTCCATTTAGCATATTTATACAGAAACCACAGCATTAGGGGCTCAACTTTGCACACATCTCTCTCACTTTGATTAATTAATGACATAGCTCTCACATTCAGAATGTTTCTGGATGGGCCATCACCACCGAGCTGTCCCCCACTGTCCCCCACAGTACATGACAGTGTGATAGCAGGCTGTTCTTCAGAGGACAGAAAATTAGTCAGGAAACATTTACTGGGCAACCTCTATGTGCCAGGGACAGGCTCTGAAGATACAAAGATGAGTCCAAACAAAGCTTTGAATCCACGTAAAGGAAAAAGAAATCCAGGTAGTATTTCAATCGACATCATTTCTCTGAACCTTTCAAATGCTCTGAGATAGGCATGTATTAATTCCATTTGCAGATGAAGAAAGTAAAGTTCAAAGGAGCTTGGTCAAGGTCAACAAGGTAGCAACTGACTAGTATTCAAAATTCTGCCCTGATTGCCTCTAAAGTGTGCTTTCTTTGGGGAACGTGTACATAGATGTGATTTAGTCACAGATCTTCAGATGAGAGAGATTATCCTGGATTAGCCAGGTTGGCCCTAAAAACAATCACATGTATCCTTCAATGTAACACATACAAGAGAGGAGGAGACATTGTCAACCGTGGAGGCAGAGTCTGGAGCGATACTGCCACAACTCATGGAAGGCAGCAGCCACCAGAGGCGGGAAGAGGCAAGGAAGGGATCTCCCTGCAGCCTCCAGACGGCTTGAAAGCACAGACTGAGACCATGTTGTGGAGCTCAGTGGCACTATCCCAGGAGCAAGCAGAACTGCAGAATTGATTCGAGTTCTATCCTGATCATTCAGTGAATTATTATTATTATTATTATTATTCAGTGAAGAAAAGCCATTAACACAGCTGAAATAGATTTACCCTTATTTTTCACCAAAGTAATTTTTTTTTGTAAGACAGCGTCTCGCTCTGTCTCCCAGGCTGCAGTGCAGTGATGCATTCATGGTTCACTGCTGCCTCAATCTCCCAGGCTCAAGCGATACTCCCATCCCAGACTCCTAAGTAGCTGGGACTATGGGCATGCACTGCATATGACTAAACATGTTTTTTAATTTATATTTCGTAGACAGGGGTCTCACTGCATTGCCCGGGCTGGTCCCAAACTCCTGGGGTCAGATGATTCTCCTGCCTTGGCCTCCCAAAGTCCTGGGATTACAAACATAAGCCACCATGCCCAGTCTCACCAAAAAACGAAAAAAATGATCTGTGAGAGTTTTTTTTTTTTGAGTTAAAAGTCTCACTCTGTTGCCCAGGCTAGACTCAGTGGTGTGATCTTGGCTCACTGCAACCTCTGCCTCCTGGGTTCAAGCAATTCTTCTGCCTCTGTCTCCCGAGTAGCTGGGACTATAGGCGCACACTACCATACCTGGCTAATTTTTGTACTTTTAGTAGAGATGATGTTTCACCATATTGGCCAGGCTGGTCTCAAACTCCTGACCTTGCGATCTGCCTGCCTGTGCCTCCCAAAATTATGGGATTACAGGCTTGAGCCACCATGCCTGCCCTCTGTGAGAGTTTTGATATGAAAAATTAAGATATCCACCATGGGCTGGGTGCAGTGGCTCACGTCTATAGTCCCAGCACTTTGGGAGGCCAAGGTGGGTGGATCATGACGGCAGGAGATAGAGACCATCTTGGATAACATGGTGAAACCTCGTGTGATGGCACATGCCTATAGTCCAAGCTACTCGGGAGGCTGAGGCAGGAAAAAAGATGGATGTTGCAGTTAGCCAAGATCGCACCACTGCACTCCAGCCTGGGCGACAGAGCAAGACTCTGTCTCAAAAAAAAAAAAAGAGAGAGAGAGATTCACCATGGACCAGAGAAAGAATGAAATAATTATCTTCAAATGGATACTTGATTCACAGTTCAATTTTAAAGAAATACAGATACTCTGATCTCTAAGCCATAAAGAAAATGGACTGTACAAACATTAGGCCAGGACTGACTTAGTACCATATATAGGCTTTTGTCTCATGAACATATCTGGACACTGTGTCACAAAAACCATTAAAATGAGAATGAGTAAAATGAAAAACAATATTGGCTAGCTTTATATGCTTCCAAAAAAAAAAACCATGAAGAACAAAAGCACAAACCTTTGCCAAATTAAGTAGAGCATATTTATTGACAAATTAACATCAGCATAATCTGCAGCCATGGCACGGTTACTAAAGATGGAGCACACTTCTCGATATTCCAGCTGCCCTCTTGTAGGTGTATTCCTAGGCATTTTCTAGTTGTTCTAGAAACTGTAAGAGGGATTCATTACTCCATTTCATTCTCTAAGTGAGTGTTGCTGGTACGAAGGAAAACTGGGTTTTTGCAAGTTGATTTTGTGTATGTCACAATATCATCCTCTTAGGAGTTCTCTTACACATATACTTAATTTTCTTAGATTTTTCCATGGAGACATTAAAATACTTGGCAAATGACAGCACTGTCTCTTCTTCTACAACAAATTTGTTTTTTAATTGGCTCAGAGCCAGTTAAAATGCTGAATTATAATAACACACTGCATTGCTGCCTTTAATGAGCCTACCATTAAATATGGTTTCACCATGAAATATAGCTTGCTGCAAGTAGATGCCATTTTTTACTAAATAGAGAAATTTCCTTCCTATTTATAGTTTACTAACCGTTTGTTTTTTAAAAAAAAATCTGGATTCAGTAGTACCTTTTATTAAATACTATTGATAAGACTGTATGGTTTTATCAATTATTTTCTCAATGCAGGGATTAACAGGAACAAATGACCTGAGGCTGAACCATTCTTGCCTTTTTGGAATAAGTCCTATTAGGTCATAATATAGCATTTAAAAATTACAGTGTTGGATTTAATTTGCTATTATTTATTTAGACTTTCTTTTGCTTCTTTTTTTTTTGGAGACAAAGGCCTACTCTGTTGCCCAGGCCGGAGTGCAATGGGGCAATCTCTGCTCATTGCAATCTCTGCCTCCCACGTTCAAGTGATTCTCATGCCTCAGCCTACCGATTAGCTGG